GTACATGTAACTGGACTTCTGCTGTGCACTTAAAACTTAGTGGTAAACATAAGTGTACAAAACGATGTCCTCATTTACGATTTCTTTAAATTTAAAATGAAACTCATTGTGTGTAGTGATAAATGGTGCTGATATCACCTACAGTACGCTGTGCGCCAGGTCACGTCGGGTCAGGAGAATGTTGCTATGGTGACAAATGATGGTCTGAGTGCATGCACTCTGTACCAGAGGCCAGCTGGGTTAGGAAGTCTTTATTTTTATTTACAAAAATTCCCGCGAAACAGCATAGAAATGTGTTCAGATTAACCAGAAAAAAATAAGTGAATGTCTAGTTAAAAAAATTCTCGCCGTGAGACTGATACAGGGAAGCATTCCTTCAGAGCTAAACACCCCTCTTCACCCCCACGGACATTTACCCCCACACCCACCCACCCACCCCTGACCCCCACCTCCGGGGACAACATCCCCCTAGTTCAAATCCCCTCCACACATGGTATAAATCAGCCAATTTTTTTGGCTTATCTTCATGTTTAGCCGCCTAACTTGACAGAACATGGTAGGTCATAATAGGGACGAAGAGCAGAGGATAAATGCGTGCTTGAAGATTCTTTTTTCATGTTTATCCACACGTGAAATGTCTTGGTTGCTTTTACGTAAGGGAATAAAATGTGAATAAAACGCAATGTAACTTTCTATAAACATGTTAAAACACACGACTCCCTTCCTGTTGTTCAGAAACAAAAAGCAAGAAAAAAGAATGCCTTTCGAAAAAACTAGATAATACGACTTATGGAATTCGATATGCTACGACGGGAAATTATAAATGATCCATAGGATATTACTGACAGCAGGTTCAGCTATTAATTTATCTTAGCTAAACCTACAGGTAGTTGGAATAGAGCGTGCAAAGTTTTATATTGGTAACTTAAATAGTATTGCTATAATGAAAATGAATATTTTAGTTGTTTATTATTTCAATGTGTGCATCTCACTTGAGAACTGAAAGCACCCACGTTAATAAATCACCTAATTAAATGTGCTATAATTCACACGCGATACCTGTTTTAAATGCATGGTCATTGCATAGTGTTGTTAGGGCACTAACAACACTTCACTCTCCAAATGGAGATCATTTAATGAGATATCCTCGTTTCTTAACTCAAAATAAGAACAAAGTGTAAAGAAATAATTCCATATGACACATAGGCACGTTTTGTATAGTACATCCTGATTCAAACTTTTGTGAAAAATTGTTCCCGATTTTCCTGTTTTGGCATCCATTCTTCAGTCTCATTCACGTGGAAGACCATAACATAATGCAAGACACACACGTCCATATACTAATATGTATACACATGTACTAGTATTCAGTTTTACGTCTGTTATCAATATGATAACACGTGCTTAAGCATATACAAAAAACACAAAAGGCATACAGATTCTCCACACAGATATGTAAAGAAAATGTGGATAAACAATGAGCTCGAGTTAAAAAAATAACCAGTGATTCTCTACTTACCAGCAGACACGTGCGTCGTCAGGGCAAGCAGCGTCGTCACCGCTATAAAAACGGAGCTAAATAACCTAAAATCCATTCGTCACGGCCGGCTGAACCTATTTTATGCGCTGATTTCATCAACACCTCCAGAATATCCCTAATGTCGTCTTTAGCAGCTACACCTGGGTGTGATTATTTTAAATATAGTGTCAAGTTATCAATGACGTCCGCAGTGCGCAGTGTATGTGTGGTTGTTCACAATCCACAGAGGTAAGGATATGCGTTCTTGACACGGGCATGCGCAGTTCATCACCCGGAGAGGATGCCGCAGTTGATGAACACTGAAATCGCGTAGCCGGTAAATATTGCAATTATCTCGTTAGGTTCCTCTGCATCGCCGCTTTTTGTCAATTTCCAATCGCTCACGCTGTCCGTCTTTACAATCCAGTAAAACGTGAGATCCGTTCGGATAGAGATAAGCTTGCCCGGGGTAAGCTATAAATAGTACTAGGAGCCTAACTAAGTGCGTGCACCAACTATTTGTTAGTCTAAAACCCAAACATTTAGAGATCTCAGGTCGGCAGGTATTACTGAATCATCGGTGAAATAAGGCTTCGTTCACATGCAATGTCTATTTTCTATTTTCTATTTTCGGTATGTCTTATGATCACGGTCTGTGCACTGAATATCCCGCGGCGTAATTACTGGCAGCGCGAGCCAGTTACTATAAGTTACTATAAGTAACTGGCTCGCGCTGCCAGTAATTACGCGGCGGGATATTCAGTGCACAGACCGTGATCATAAGACATACCGAAAATAGAAAATAGAAAATAGACATTGCATGTGAACGAAGCCTAAAACGGCAGACTAGCCACGTCATTCTGGACCAAATTGGGCTGCATCAGCCCCGCGTCTGACCACACAAACACGAGCGTTCTTGTTCATGATATTTCTAAACCTAATTTGTCCCGTTCTAGTGCTAGTGTCGATAGTAAAGAGAACTTATGACACAAATTACTGGGTTAATGATAAAAGAATGGCGGGGAGAATGCGCTATTATTGCGCCATAATGCGCACATTTGACAACTCGGGCGAGACGTTTTGAATACTAGTTACTTTAAACTCATTCTGGGTTAGTTTATGCCACATATTGTAACAGAAGCTGAGTTTCAACTGTAAAGCGGGTCTTCGATTCAAAGAGCGGTAATACTTGTACAATGTACTCTCGTTTTTGTCGTATGTTGACGCGAGTAATTACAATTTATATAAACATCCTCAGCGTGCTTGTGGTACATTGTAATTTGTACACAGGAAAAATCAACATTCGTTTTTTTTGAACGTTTGGGGGGTATTAAGGGGGTGAACAATACGTTAAGCAAAATAATGTTTTTTTCCCCGTTTCATTTGTGTGTGTGTGTGTGTGTGTGTGTGTGTGTTTGTGTGCGTGTGAGAGACAGTGTGTGTGAGAGAGGGGGGATCAATACTTAATACTAATGTTATTATCACTGTTCATTTTCTTCAATTCAATATTACCTTAAAGTCACATTCTGCCCTCTCTCTCTCTCTCTCTCTCTCACCTACATCATTTTCATTTATTCTGTAGAGTAACCTTTCGGCTCATGTAGCCCATTAGCAAGGAAAACAAGATCACGGAACTTCCGTGTAGTCTGTGCTGATTGAAATAAAAAAATAATATCATAAAAAAGTTAATATTTTATAATATTTGGTTTTGTTTACGAAGCATGAACATAAATAATGGTATTCTTTTATCGATCTTCTTCTATGCTATATATAACTTATTGTGATGAGTACCTGTTTGGAAATTGGGATAGTTTTAATTCTGTTAAAGCGTTTTATTATTTATTGTATTTAATCACGAAGAAGAAGTTACCAGTATTTACTTATCAGAACGATTATTATTGATGTATCATGCAATTTGCTATATGTAGGTCATATCGTAGGCCTATACGTTAATATATTATTAAAAAAACGATAACTCTTAGGTCATAGATGCAGGTAAAATTTAAAAAAATTGAAGTAAAAAAGGCTATGCCTAATTGCTTATGAAGAAAGTAGTGTGCATGAAAATTAGTAATAGAATAACTCTCAGCATTTACTGATTCCAGTGTAACAGGAATGGAAGTCCGCGAGGAACCGTAGTCCGCTTCCCATTTCTTTGTACAGGTGACATTCGTCCAATATACTATCCCCAACACTCCAACTAACCCCAACTTGTACTAATTATATGGGAGCCCGGACCTCCATTCCTGTTACACCGGACTAAAAGGAAGATGTCATATTTTCTTGACAAAATGTATTTCCTATATAATTATTGAATATATAACTTAATCTAACACGCGAATATTGGTGCGGGTGTAAAGTTGTAAGGTGGGTCTCCAGTCCTCCCTGTCCAAAAGTAAATGACGGACGAGCCTCTTTTACGCTCTTAAGACAATGAAAAAAAGTTACCATACTTTTGGAATGCCACATGGTAAGGAAAACGAGATGTTAATACGTACATGTAGCTCATCATTATTCTGAACCCTGCACGTGATATGTGGTGTGTTATACACGTAAAAAAGATAAGTAATCCTTTATCATTTTCTCCCTGCATTTTGATTGAAAACATTCCCCTATTCTACTATGTCTATGGCTTCTCCCTTAGGGCTTTCTGTCATACCAAACTTGACTAAAACACAATATAATGTGCCGTAGCACATGTCTGCTAAAGAGCCAAAAACCTTGAAATGATTTTGAAATCGATAAGCTATAATACATCTAAAATCAAGCATAATTGTAATGAGTTCGAAAAATTAAACAATCATAATGGAAAAATAAAAAAATAGATGTTTAATGAATTAAAAGGATTAAAATTTATAAGTACCTTAAAAAGACCGTTACTGAATACACAGCAATATATATATATATATATATATATATATATATATNAGATACGCAAAGTACGGAGATAGGTTCGTATAGATTACTGCGTACTGTATCTGGTTCGCTGAAGTTGATCATCACACGGGGGAGTGTTAGCGAAGAACCAGATAGTCGCCACGGTAGATAATATGAGGAAAGTATACAACACCAGTCTATCTATGACCACGGCTACCATCTCCCATTCCGTTTTCAATCGCTCTGCGGCCTTCTTTTCACGCCCGGTGCAATCCTCGCCCTTTAGGTTGCTTAAAATCTGGCGAAGCACACGCGTGGTGGCAGCGGAATTGGCGGTGGGATTTCCGCTTCCGCCATGAAGGCTCATTTCGTCTTGTGAGCTGTAAGGGTTGCTGTCGCTGAAGTGGGTTGGATATCGTGGTTTTTCACTGTCTCGGATGCTGTAGATGCTGCCGTTCGCTATACTGTCATATATGTCGCCGTTTGATGAAAGCCGTGGTCGTCCATTTCGACTTTCGCTCTGAAATTACAAGTGATATATATTATCTATATGACTATGGTAGTTAATAATATTAAGTCATTCTACAAATATAAACCTTTCAAGAAGTTTCGAGATGTAATTTTATGGTAAAGATTAACTTTTATGTATTTGTTTATTATTTTATTATTATTATTTTTTTTTTGGGGGGGGGACTCTCTAAAGAAACAGCTGAAGAAACTAGAGGTGCAGATTGTTGATAAAGACAAACAAAGCAAGCATGGCAAGTAATGGAGGAGAAAAATATGAACTTTAAAGAAAGTATAAGAAGCATAATCATACATGTATAGGCTCTAATTTGAAAACGTTCTCCGCATCTTCATCAAGCGCCGTTTTGATTGCTTTCCTCTTGCAGACGATTGTGCCTAAAAACCCCAAGACCAGCTTCCTCATCCAGTTGGGCATCTCGTGACCCCGTTCTCCGCTGAAGTGAATGTTGGACACCACGATGCTGCTCATGGTGGAGATACACAGTAATAGTAGAACAATGCCCAGGTACATACCTGCAACGGCGGAAAAATATACGGAAAACTGTGTGAAATTATATGGACTTTTTCCTTTTTTCTTCTTAAAATACGGATTCTTTGAAAATAAGAGTTTTCACTTTGAAAATATCAATATGAATTTTTTCAGTTATTTTTTCGATGTAAAAATACTTATAAAGGTATAAGTAATGGATTTGATTTTCTGTGTGCACTTGGAAGTATAACGAACTTCTCAGGACAAAGAAATAACTAGGTTTCGACTTAAGTATAGATATGCGTGTGGGCAAATATTACCTCGTGCAAGTTATTTTTTTCTTAATGCTAAAAAATGGAATAATACATAAATAAATTACTGGTACAATTTATTCATATCTTTAAGGGTCACCGGCAAAAATTCTTAAACTGACTGACTAGCTACATGAATTGTGGAATTATTCTCCTTAAAGACATCTAGGATTTGACATCTCAACTTACTTAATACTGGAACCACTTCAGACTGAGTAGGCGTCAAATCCGAAACCAGCTGCAAGAATACCATCATGGCCAACACAGCAGTCACACCAAACGACACTTTCTCTCCGGACTCCACCGGTAGGTAGAAACTCACAGCCGTCATGGACAAAACCACAATACAAGGCAAGATCAGATTGTACAGATAATACAGAGGTTTACGACACATGATCAGATAAAATGTGACGTCAGGGTAAGGTTCCGGGCAGCACCCGTACACAGTGGATGTTCGTATGGCGGGAGCAGCCATTAATTGCCACTCTCCATTTGGAACAAACGACGTCTGGTCTCCCGTCGCGCTTTTGTTCCGCAGATCCAGCTGGTAACCATGGAAATGCCAGGAACCAAATTTTACTGGGCAGGCTTGTTTGTCGTATGGGAAGTAGTTGATGTCCATAAGACAGCTGCTCTTCAGGATGAGTGGATACCCCCACGTGACCTTGCCGTCGCTGTGGACCGTGGCGGGAAATCCACTGACATCTCTCTCCTCCTCTCGTACACTGCAGTATAGATAATGATTTGAATTCAAAGAAGCAGTTAATAGAATGGTTTAATAATAAATAATTAAATAATGGATAAAAATACTGAATGTATATATTTCAAATAGTAATTGTTGATTACTTCATTGATCTCGTTTGGTGAAGAAACAGGGGGTATTTCATGATGTATATCACTATGTACGTGCATGCTATCACAAAAAAATGGAAAAGTCAACTTCATATTTCATAAAGCAATTATATCTTTTACTGCAACCTGGCCCCGTGACTCGAAAACATCGGGTAGTGCGAATAGCGATATCACATATAGAGGCTACAATGTATTATATGGGGCGAGTTATGGAATGGAGACGCGTGCGCTCGGTCGCAATGCGCTATGCTTTCGAGTTACAGGGCCCAGATCTCGTGCGCTATATGATAGTGATCGATACATGGACCAAAATGTATTTCACACTATACATGTGTACTACCTTGTTTTCCATTTGTGTAATTCATGTAATATTAAAAACCTGCTTATATTTAACCACCTTAAGTTACTTCTTGGTATGACTTGAACTGTATCGAATACAAGTTTGTATTGAAACGTTACATATTATTCTACGACATTTCATCATAAGTGAAGTTTTCGGCAGCATGTGTATGCGCCATTACAATTTTTCCTCGTCATTTGATAATATTACGAATTACTTAAATGTGAAAGATTTTTTTAATTCTTTTTTCTGTGCATATTTATGTTTATGTGTGTTTGGGCATGCGTATATGTGCTCGCCTGCATGTGTATGAATGTAAACGTGTGTGTTTATATGTGTTTGTGATTGGGTGCGTGTGGTGAGTTAGTACGTGTGTGCGCATGTGTAGGGTCTACTTGCGCGTGCGTGCATGTTGAATATTTAATCACACATACTCATTGTATATAGTAGTGTCCGGATTCCATATGCTGTCAATGGCGACGTCGAAACTAGTGATGTTGGCGTGCTCGGACTCATTCCATGTAAGAATTTCGTCTTTCCATTCCTGAGAAGAAAGTTGAAAGATTATTAAGGCTCAGTGGTGTTCAGCTGAATTTTCGAAAATTTTGGACAGACTTCATAATGAGAGACACTAGAAGACCTACAACGCTCCAATGGATACGATCGCGGACATATAACAGTGACAATTCATTGATATTTCAGAAACACTGTACCTGTGGTTCATTAACCCTTATTTGACATAGCCATGTCTGATAACCAACATATAAATTATTCTTTTAGCTTTAATTATTCAAAAACATATCAGTACTGAAAACACTGTCGCAGACATTCAATTTATCTCCTAAATCACTTCACAGTGTATTTTTAAAAGCTGCTGGCTTGAGCAACTTCGAGTGAAAATAACAATAACATTGAAATATATTCAACAGAAATGAACTGATTAATTCAAATTAATGGTCAATATAAAAGGTCTTTGATACCATGGATCCACCGGCATTTTACCTAATAATAAGGTTCAACCCTGATACATGTTATACTACAAGAACAAAAACTAAATACCGGTGTGACAGGAATGGCAGTATGCTGGGAACCGGATAGTCTGTGTCCCATTACTTTGTACAGGTGGCATTCGTCCCCTATACTAACGACTAACCCGAATAACCCGGTACTAATCATATGGGACCCAGTGTAACGTGCTAGAGAGCCCCTCATGATGGAGATTCCGCTTCCATTTTATTTGTGAGGTAAGCCTCGCCTTAGAATTTGACCCATTAAATTAGCTTAGGTTAACCCTAACCATTATAAGTAAATGGAGGCCAATTACACGGACTCTCAGTTTCGTTACACCGGGGCTTCCATTCCCAGGACTACCATTCCTGTCACACCGGCAATGACTCCAATTACCTGTCTCACCCACAGACTGACGAACAGCGTCTGCTCTGCTGCGTTCTGAAACAACAATTGAAATGCTTTAAAAAGACCCAGAGGGTTCGTACAACACTCCATGAAATATTCTTATATTTATTATGTGTTGCACGCAATAAGGCTTTCAAAAATATGTTCTCAGTTTAAACCAATGTAAGTGACTGAAGATACGTGAAATTGTAATCCGTAATTTAAGGACTATAATATATGTAAATAGCAGTTGGATTATATGTAAATGCAATTGGATTATAACGAAATCGTGAAGAGAGAGAGAGAGAGAGAGAGAGAATAAGATCCTTACCAATTCAATAACTTGGTTAACACTTATATCTATTTTCACAGTAACTGTGTGGTTCGGATTTACAACCGGCCTGTTGTCTGCGTCATATTCAGAGAGGAGATTTTTCTTAAGGTTGACCAAAGTTGTATAAGTAAACGAGTGTGCCGAAACTGAGATGACTGAAAAATAAAAAATATAAATGTTAAAAAAACAGTCATCAGTGGGTGCTAACGAGGCAACCGATGGGAACAATTCCTTTAGTGTAATATAAAGTGTATATAGACAGAGGTGGGGGTTGGTATTAGAGGGCTAGTGGATGGGACGTGGGCGAATGAAGTGTCTCGGTCTTGAGCCTGTTTTGGTACAATCCATTATCCATTACTTATGACATAGGTTTTATTACTCTACGCTTTCTCGTCTTGGCCTCCTTTTTTTTAAAGTCCCAAAAATGTATATATGACCTTATTCAAATAGACACATCGTACTAGTTAGGTCGATCCAACTCTGAGGGGCATACATCCCCAACCATTGCAATCAGCTTAATTATCTGGGTAATTAACTTTATACTAGCTGCACGAGGAGGTGTGTCATTCTTAAAGCTGATCGCACTTAGTGAGAACCCCCGCAGAGTAAGACCGACCCAAATGGTTCGATGTGTCTACCTGAAAGCTTCCTATAACTGCGAGAACTATTGAGTCTTTTTGTATGTTATGTGATGATCAGGTGAGAAAGAGTGTGAATAGCAATAAGAAATGAACCCGCTTTACTCTAAATATATAGACTCGTAATTGTTAATGCAATTAAGAAGTAGCCCCCTACCCCATCTCGCCCTTTCCCCATTACCAACACTGCAAAAAATAATGTATTGTTATTTTTCAAAGAGCTATAACAATTAACTCTATTGTAACCTAATGCGATGATAGCAACTCATTGATTTCCGCAACATAAAAGCGAAAATGACCCAATGTTTCGCCCACGAAAATTGATTTTGGTAAAATTGCTTCCTAGAGTTGATAAAAAATAAGAGTCAATAACTTCTGACTGTACAGAAATTAACCTCACTTTCCCACATACATCATAATTTGTTTTGATGAAGTTCTGTAGATTACGAGGTTCCGTTGGTTTATTATCTATGGTTATTCCTTCAGAGAGGCTATTGACCGAACTGTGCCGTAGGTCTGCCCCTGCGAAAATTTGTCTCATTTAACGCTCACTTACGGTTCTCAATCTGTCATAGAACATAATGTTTTCTCTTTTAATGGAAAATGTACTTAATCTGTTCTAGGACATTCTGAAGGACTTCCCCAAAACAGTTCTGGAACTGTTACATTCAATATCAGAACAACATTAGAACTGTAAAAAAAAATACACCAAATGTTCTAAAAGAGATTGAGAACCGTAAGTGAACGTTAAATAAGACACATTTTTAGCAGGGGTGCTGCCTTTAATACATAAACTACAAAGGCAAAAATGGACTTTTCAAGATATTGTTTTTGCAATTGGCTATGAAATGGACCTCTTTCAGTGACTCAAAGCACATATCATACTGGGCAATCCATCCAGTTGCAAAACAGAAACTGTAACTGTTGTTAAGAGGAGGGGGTACAAAACTTAATTGCCACACTTGAAATTCACATTTTCAAACCGTGTTTGTTCTTGAAAGAAAAGAGCATCCAATATTTTCAGTTAAGATATTCCACGTATCTCGGCAATGATGTCTCTACCAGAGGTGGGTGTGCTTTCCCTAGTAAAATTTTAATTTAAGAATAAATATTTGAGGGCAGTGCAGTCCACAATCTGAATTCTTTGATTTGAATATTTAATAAAAAAAGAAAGGCTATTTATCTATTTTACACTTACTGCTTTAATTGGATATTAAAAATAAATTTAACCGAACACTCAAAAGATATTATATTTACCATGCCAATACAAAAGAATAAGTACATTAGCTGTGAAGTCAACTTTACTGCCGACTTTCGTTCTCCCATGAACCGAAAACGAGTCACATGATGTTGACCTAATTTTACCATGACGTTGCTAACTTTTTCCTTAATTGGAAATAATGGAATTTCTACGTTTCTTTAATGTAATGTACATCAGCCTGCTATGTGAATATTACACAACGGATGCTCAAATCTAGTGAACAGCTGAAATATGCCATAAGCCATTTGGAATTTCTGATTGTATACACCGCAGAGGCGTGGTTTTAGTGGCTTGCCTTATAATGCAATTTAACCTTAGACCCCATTCCCAGATATTAGATCGATCCAACTAAATCGATCTAACTCCCTGGTGGTTCACGCAAAATAGCTGTCAGACGAAAGTTAATTACCCCCTTTCAGCTTAGTAGTAGTCGGGACGGACATTTAAGCCGGATAATCTGACAGTAATCTACTGAGACTCCCCACGGGGATAAATCGATCTAAAATCTATGGGAATGCGCCCTTTGTCACATACCGGTAGCTATAGTATTTGCACAGCAGCTCGATCAACTGAAAATGGCAGTTGTGGAATAGAAGAAGAAGGCATTTTGCAATTTTTATGACAAACTCAGCCTAACCGTTCTTTCTTTTGTTATGAATACCAAACGTTCACCATCATGTATTGTTAATTAAACATGCCATCTAACCACTATGGGACACTTTCATTTAACCTACATGGTTGACTTGTAGATTAAATTAATGATTGTACAGTGTAACTTGAATAAACACGAGACGGTCCAGTTAATAAGGTCGCGCGACAAGTTTATTTTCAGTTGCACCCTGGATTACGCACGCTTGCTCCGCAAGGTGTCGCCTGTGGTGGGGGGCAGCACAGCCCATATGGATACTGTGGCGAAGGTGACAGGTACTTCCAAACATTTTTCATAACTGTCATTATTCCTCATTCTTTTCACAAATTTGATATTTACGGCAATGGAAAATGTGGCACTGGCAAAAGTGGGTCTTGGTGCATTGACAGGCCGCACAGGTGTCCCCAATTAACCGCCGCCAGAGAAGAGACCCCAAGCATTAAACAACACGACCTGTAGATATTGGAAATTTGGCGAAAGTTAAGCAACTGAGGCTTTATTAGATTTGGGCAGAAATCGAGAGGAATGTCCAGTGACATGCCAAACCCCTAAGTTCAAGTCTTGGCCCTTGACACCAGTAACGCACCCCTTAGTCAAGAATCTGAACAAATCAATGTTGGGCAGGTATGCACTATTTTCTACAGGCGTTTTGTGATTTTATCAACTTGATTGTCAAGTGCCAGACCTTTTGTTCCTATAGGTACTAGTAGCAAACTTTATCAGATAACAATCTGACACTAACCATGCAACCATGCTGTAAACCCAGTTATCAATGCTGTCATCTTTACCTGTATCATTACCGGTATTATGCCAGTAGTATGTTTGCTACATTTGAGTAAGGAAATATGCTTTGATGCTTATATTTATTTGTAATACGTTAGCATCGACCTGTTAATAAAAACTTGGAAACTTTCAATGTTATTCCACAATAACAGTACTGTATAATGATGGGAGATGTTATGATTAAATGCTTAGAAGAAATAATAAAAACAGATTATGTGAAATATAAAATGAATTGATTTTATTTGGGTTATTTATTTATTTCAAACCAATTAATTATCAAACATGAAGCTTATTTTTTAGAAATATTAACAGATGTTACTGCAGTATAACCCTGCTGGTACACAGATCTACAGGTACAGTTCTAAAATGCAAATACCTTTCACACACCCCTGATGAAATGTGAATAAAATATTAATCATATATATGTAGTAAAAATATCACAAAATGTGTGTAGGCAAGATATTTCTACAAGTAACCTCATTAATCAGTCAGGAAACTTCATAATGCATTCAATAAATGTAGAAATTTGAGCAAGAGAAATTCTACATACAGGCATGACAGATTTACCATATATTGCCACCAACCCTTAACTGAATGGGCATAGAAAGAACAAAGTGAGTCTCCTTCCCATTAAAAATGAATAATAAAAAAATAAATATATAAATAAAAAACAGATACTGTCATTTTTAATACTGAAAAACAATGGCACCTTGCAGCCTTCACTGCCTCACTATTTACAGACAATGCTCTAGTCACTGTAACTGTGTACTTTTGATGAGGCATAGATGCAAGAATAACTCCTTAGTAAGTATATTGTGAAGGTCTCTTTTGTCATAAATCTGTCACGTATAACCTGAATGTACATATTGCGATTCACACCGCAGCAGCTTGTCTTAGTAAGGACTCAACCAGTTGAAAACTTGTGGCACAGCTTCAGGGACAAAATCACACCATCTACCCTTGCTGTGATGATGGATCTACTAGTACATTATCTATGTCTTGTCCTCCTAGTTTCTCTAATACCATTTCCCCTGATCTATGCTCACATCAATCTCTACAGCTTTACCAACAGCTACACAGTTTTACATCTGAAAGTATAAAGACAAAATTGTAATAAAGCACTATCAATTTACTTGTTATACATTGATTTGAGGGCAAGAGAAAAAGGCAGAAACCTCATATCATAATCAATATAACTGAAAATCAAATATGTATAATCAAATAGCTTTAATTGTACATACTACTGATGATTTAATCTTTTAAACTTCAGCATAAATTTTGACTTTTTCTTGTTAAAGCATAGCCACTTAGCAAAATGTGCTTGAACAAATAATAATAATAATAATAATAAACAGCCTGCACACATGATGGAACATGGAGGTCAATTGGCACAAAATAAGTTGATTTGTACTTGGTAGCCTGAGAAATAATATCAGGTATTAATTTGAGCAGTAATAATACCACAGAGTTAACAACGACACAAGCATATGGTGTTATGTAACAAAATTCATGCATTACTTGCTGTGGCAGTGTCCTCCTCAACCTATATCGTGCACCGCAGGTTTTGATTTTCAATGTCATCAAAAAATTTTATTGTTTTTAGTTTGATCTATGTATCTGCTATTCAAATAATATCGTTTGGAAAATAACTAACTGATTTAATTATGCTTTTGCAACATGAAATTATCATTAACTTTGCCGGTTCACGTGTACACAGTACCTTGCTATCAGTGCTGCTCTTTTCTCCCCAACTCGCCACTGACAGGCTAACCACATCGTTTCAAAAACAACGTTGGTATGCTCCTTTACTTTTGGTGTTGGCAGTTTTNGATTATAGGTGACCTAAATCCATGAGATGGGTACGGGGGCCCTTACCGTCTAGGAGGAGAAGCGGTAACGGTAGCCGTCCGGCGGAGCCGGCGGGGCCGGCGGAACGATCCGGACGGGACCGAAACCATGTGTACCGCCAGCGCTAACGCTGGTGGTACAATTACTTGCTGTGGCAGTGTCCTCCTCAACCTATCGTGCACCGCAGGCCTTGATTTTCAATGTCATCAAATTTTTTTATTGTTGTTAGTTTGATCTATGTATCTGCTATTCAAATAATATCGTTTGGAAAATAACTAACTGATTTAATTATGCTTTTGCAACATGAAATTATCAT